TCAGAAATGTCCACAATATGTGGATAGCAGCATTTGCCCTATAATGGATGTAACACCAAGTTAATAAACATTAAAAAAATTATAAGGCAGTCTGGTATATTGTAAAAGAGACCAGTAAGCACTACAAGTTTACAAAGTAACTTCCCAGGAGACAAAATTTAAGCAGTCTGGTATATTGTAAAAGAGACCAATAAGCACTACAAGCTTACAAAGTAACTTCCCAGGAGACAAAATTTAACCTCAAACAATGTCCTTTAAAAACATAACAGAAAACCACCAGCAAAACAGACGGACATATTCCTTGTAAACTCATGTAATAAAAAAAATGTATTTTTGCTGCAGTCCTTCACTCATTCTTTCTGGTACTGGTCTGCCAACATTTCTTGGGGTTTTTATTTAATGCTCTGATATAAGGTCAGATTTCTTTATTTCATATGAAATTACTATGAACCACTGTTACCAAGGTAAAGAGGATTAGCGGAAAGGAACAGCGATCACAACCTCATCAACAGCGTACAATCTCAAGAAATAGCATCATCCTTAAAATGTCACTATCTTGACTGTAATTACACACAGTTCTCAAGATCACATACATACCCAGATTATTGTGTGCTGGAGACATAGGGTTTGGTGATAAGTTTGGAGAACCTGAAAATCAAGACATTAAAATTATTAATATGGCATCTGCACAAGGAAAAACACTTGCACAACCTCTTCAGTGCTTGCCCAGGCTTGTTGGAGGGATAACACGCTTCTCACTTAAGTCTCACTTTGTGACACCAGCAGCTTCTCTGATGTTGATTACTCTTTACATGAGCTTCCATATGCTATTACTTATGGTATCAACTTGCTACATCTGCAATACTGCTAAGCATCTTCATAATGCATTCACTTAAGCTTAACCCATTAATTTTCAAAACTGAGCATGCAGTTGTCTGTTTTACTGTCACTTGCAGTTATCAAAAGTCCAGGTACCATCATGACAGCCACAGTCAAACCCAATTAGCTGGGCGTTGATTTTTACATTGCCAGGCACAAAACATACTCATAACAGTTGAAAACATACCACTTGATATCAACAGATCTTACTGGTTTGGGGACAATGGAGTATTGGATCAAGCTAAACAGATCTGACCAAACTACTGTCAGTATTTTATCCCAAATCATTTCAATTTGGTCCACAAATTTTGCGTATGTATTTAAAATATCTGCATGTGGATGTCCAGGGCAATTTACACAGCCTCTGGATGCCACAAGGATGCGGAGAGGTGGTACAACCCATTTTATCTTTGCCTCTCACACCGAGTTTGGCTGGTTTCTTTAAAATTTGTTTATTTCTATAAAGAGGGAAGTCCGTGACATCTGAAGGAAGGGTTATAGCATTTGAACATAAATTGGGTATTTATAGTATCTTCCAGGCCAATCCTATTCCAGGCCACTTTCCAAAAAGCCATACATACATTCCACATGTCAACCACATTACCAATAATTGTATGCACTAAAATGGCTTGTGTCAATAGGCTTATGTTTGATGTAGACAAACAAACCCACACTGCCTTCCGCCATCTGTATAACTGCGGTGAAAGACTGCAAATCAGTCATCCCTCTCTTAGAATCCCACGTGTGCTCTACGGCTGAGGACATGCACAGAAATCAAGATATTTGTGTGCAGGATTTGCATTAATTAAGTTCTGCATGTCTGTCTTTACATAAGTGTCATGTATTTGCATATCCTTCTTGTAAAACATCAGCCCTTCTAACCAAGGACGTGTCTTTGCTTTTCAAGCAAAAGTTTCATGAATTCAGAGTCTGATTCAGCTGTTCTTACAAGCAGTGACACCACTTGGATCAAGAGGATGCCTTAAACAGTTACTCCCAGAAAGATGAGACCTGCATGTTCAATTTCAATGAGTTGACACAGGTTAACATGAACACTAAGGCTGCTCATTCTAAACCTGGTTACTTGTTTTCTTGGCAATGAGAGAGAACACAGACCTTCAACTTTCTTTGGGATATATCCACTAAAAGATAAACTCATTTAAAACCAAATCTGCTAGCGGTCATTTCAAATGTATTTAAACTGGACATTTCAGTATGTACAGTAAACGACCAAGCGATCAGAAAAATGCCTGTGCAGAAAAGTGCCGGCTGCATGCACAATCTTCACATGCATAGAAATGCATGCATGCCAATACAACACAAACTATCATCCTTAGATGTGTCCCCACTGTTTCAGGCTCCTGCTTAGTAGTATCTAATGAAGGATGTTGGGGAGAACAGGAACACGCTGTACCTTTCACCAGCAGCTCTAAAACATACAGCCCTGTGCTTTATATGAGATGTCAGGCTACATCTGCACTCCTACAGGGATGAAATACCTCAAACCACCATCTGATCTTCGGTGCCCCAAAGAAAAACTTCAAAAGAATCTCTGATGTGACCTAGAAAGCTGCAGCAAAGGGCAAAAGACGACCTACCTGCATCCATGCTGGGGTTCATCTGGTGGTCACTAGTTTCTCCATCCTCACTCAAATAGCCTGGAGGAGGTGTCTCTGGAAGCATAAAATGATCATACTGTCATTGCAACTGGATGCACAGCCTGGATTTTAGACATCAAAAACATTTACTTTATTATTCACAAGGAGCTAAATTTCATTTTATTTCTTTTCCTCCTCAAGCTGCTGAAAGGAGGAGCTGGCACAACCAGGATGATAGTCATAGCATATTTGTGAATAACAGGGGAGAGAGGAAACAAAAAAATACGGATTTTCAGTCCCATAAAACTTTAAGCCATGCAGACAGTTCTCTGTCCACATATTTTTCCTCTCCTGGTGTGCAGCTGCATAGCTTGTCCATGCAAATAAGGTGTAAATTGCTTGTAAAAGAGATACATAAATAGAAGAGCTCAATTCCATCAGAAATTTAGAGAGTTTTACTCAAATTAAAATGGCTGAATTTCATTCAAATCTAAACTTGCCAAGGGAACATTCAGCTTTACATTTCACAATAAACCAAGTATGTACTACTGAAGGGAAGAGGTGAGTTTAAAGAAAACAAAACAAAACTATAAACAGCACTGTTGTGTGCCTACATTTACAGCTTTCATCTATTTTTGTATAGGTTCCCACTCCTTAGCTTCATAGTAACGATGGAAAGAAAGACTTTCCAGTCATCCAGCTTGGCACACATAGACACGCTTCACTGTGCAATATCACCCCTTTCCCTCCGCTCGCTGTATGGAAGATATACGGTACCTGGAATGTAGTTGCTCTGTGGCTCGATACCTGCTGGGAAGTTAGTGTTCTCTGGAATAGAATGACTATAATCGTCTAACGGCGGGAACTCAGCTGGGATCTCTGTGTGCCGAGGCACCAGCACTGGAGGTAACACTGCACAAATGGAAAGGAAAAAAAAAAAAAAAAAGAACAGCAATGTTAGCAGCTTTAAAATAAAATGACTGAAACCCTAGAAAATGAAGAGAAACCAGTTTGGAGTAACACCCTTAAATACATGCAACACCAAAGTCGCTAATTAAGGGACACAATTTGATACTTGCTTCTGAAATAACAGCAGCAGTTAAAGATGCTATTCTTAACATATCTCAGCTGGGGACGGGATACGTGCTTATCTGAACACACCTAGTCTGTCTGCCCCTTCTATGGAAAAGAAACAGGTCTTCTTGAAAAACAATTTAAGAGAAGTTATAGCACATAATTCAAAAGAAATAATTTTCACATAAAATGAAACAGCAAGGTAGGATTAGCATAAACATCCAGACTGGTTCTGCAGATTTGTACCGACACGCAGCAGAACTATCTGCGGTTCCAGATGAAAGTCTCTTTCAGAAGCAGGAGGAGACTTCAGAACAGGAAGTTCAGTTGCGTTGGGAGCTATTCTTAGATCCACTTCAACTTAACAGTAAGTTTATCCTTAATTTAATACCAACAGTTAGGGATGCATAGAACACTGCCGTAGTTCATACTTGTATCCACTACGTGCATGTGCTGTTTACGTGCACGCAAAGCCACATTAGGAACCTGGCAACAATGCAACCTGCTTGACTTGGATTTTATCGATTTAAAATGATATTTCCCCCCTGAGTGCAGACTCATAAATTATTCTACTGTGTACAGTAAGAGATTATCATCAATAATAGATATGCTTTGGTTTTAAAACCTTACGCCCACTGCTTTATTCAATTTTGAAATGCACTTCTAAATCCCTTATGGTGGTACTGAGAAGCTGAGGTATCCACACACAGGGTCAGCAGTACCTGGGGTTTCCACTCTTTGGTAATGGTAAGGATTCACACAGACTTCATCCTTCTTCATGTTAAAGGCGTACTCGCACATCTCCATGGCCCGCAGCTCATGGTGGCTATGAAGGTCTGGCCACCGCCACAGTCGGCAGTAGATCACATGGGGAAGACCCTTCCGGTGAGATACTTGCAGCCGGCCATCTAACGATCTGCAGTCAGAACATAAAGATGATAGCAATTCAGGCTGGCATCGATGCGTAGTACTGACCACATCCCATCACACACTACTCAGGGGAACCTAACGTGAAGACTGCGGACTTCAAGCAGGCAGGCAACTCGGTATCCTGACACAATCCTAAAAGGTGCTGGGCACCAAAACCCGCCGAGACAGTGCTGCAAGGAGGCATGCCGGTCCCAGTCTTCAGGTCAAGAAGTACATCTCTGAAAACTGTAAAATGTTTGTTTTATATAACAACCCTGCTCTGGATTTATTAATTTTCTGAAGAGAGGTTAATTTGGAGGCAGAGACAAGAGCTACAGCAAGTAAGAACACATCAATTTAGTGGTGGTCTTAAGCATTTGTATATGTCCTAACAAACATGCCATTTGCATAGCTCTCAACAATCTATGCTGTGCATGTAAAGGTATGACATCTTAAAACATGTGCTAATGAAACTGGACTTTTAAAATAGAGACATGAATTTCCATTGTGACAAAATCATCCCAAATCGATATACATATCTGTTCTTTAAACAGTGTTCATGAACATTACGAACAAGCAAGGCTTCCAGTTTCATTTTCCAAATTGCAGCTTGAAAGCAAAAAATACGAGTTTTTTCAGCACTGCTTACTTTTGTTTATACATCTAGCCCATGTCCCCTCCAACTCACTTTTCACTTAATCCTATCCTCACCCCAGAATAGCCTGTTCTTGCAGACCTTCCTGGGAAGCCAGACAAGGTCATTAAATCCTCTCCAGCAGAGGAAAGGGCTGGAGCAGGGTCTCCTCTGTCCTGAACCCGGGCTCCACTCCCCAAATCACTCAACGGGAACCACCCCCAGGCACTTTCTTTGAAGTCTAACCCTTCATTTCCCTTCCTTTTCTTAATGACTGAAATGAAACACTTTGGGGGTTTGGTGAAATGAAATATTTCTATTTTTTAATTTGTCAAGGAAGAAAAAAAAAAGAAAATTGAAATTTTACTTGGAATTATTTCCCTTGGTTCTTTGTGTTGGCAGCCTATGTAGAAAAACAAAACAAACCCAAACCAAAACACACAAACAATTATTCAAACAGTGGTTACGCTAGTCTTGGCTGCCCTAAGAGAGTTTTCCCAAAAGCTTCTCTGGCAGAGCTCGGTAACACGCACACCTCTTGTAAACACTGCTACAACAACGAGGAAGGCAAAACGCAACCAGTTCAAGCTATTACTGACAAGCACTTGATTTAGGGGAGCAAGAAAACACGTCACACAACTTTTATGTATGAAGTATATAAGGAGTCTATGCCATCACTGAGGGGCTTGCTGGTACAGGTTACACAACATCTAAAACCTGCAAGTATATTAAAGCCCTGAAAAATGCACAACGCCCACAGTTATTATTTATAGTACGGATTTACAGTATGTATTTCTTCATATTGTGCCTGTTATTTATGGGTCACGCATTCTCTTCAGACTTCACTCTTCAGCCTGCTTCTGTGAGGGGGTGACCAGCTGAGTGTCTGGCACGTTCTCCAAGTGCGTTGCTATGCCAAGCTCCTTCTGCGGACAGGAAAGCAGAAACCAGCCTTCCCAGGGGAAAGACTTGCAAGGAGGGTGCCAGTGCCTAGAACTGATCTTCTGCGGAAGGTGGGAATCTCGGTACTGGTTTCAATGGGGCCAAGACTTACGTGACCCCCAAACATGTCGGTTTGGAAAAATGTTTAAAAATATATACCAAAAGCGTGAAAATATTTGCTACATTTAGCAAAAAGAGAGTAGGCTTGAAACAAGGAACAAAACAGGACTGCTTTTTTGTCCCTGTTTCAAACATCTTTGCCTGCTTGAAAGGGTATCTTGCATCTAAGTGAGGGTAATGGAGAAAAAAGAAGCCTCAGAGATATCCCACAGGAGACACAACCGTGACAAGTGTTCCTACTGTTCCCAGTCACCATCAGCAGCACGTTACAGACGGACATCACAGCAGCACAGACAGATTTGGGTGGAGGTTAGCGGCTGAGATGGGGGGACTAACACAAAGTGCGTATGACTTTGGGATTACTCATGAGGATTATTCTCTCCCTACATTTCCCAGGATAGAAGAAACTCTACCACAAATTTCCCAGTTGCCTGGAGGGTAAAGTGCACTTCTTCCCATGACCCCAGGGTTCTCGATAAACGCTTCGGAGTCTTTACAAAAGGTGAGCAAGTATATCTACATGCCTGACTCTCTGGATGCAGTGGCCCTCACCACCCAGGTTAACGGAGCCTTTCTGCTAACAAAGTTCTTGCAGGGGACAGTGGGGAGAGACACCAAGTCACCAAGTCGAGCAGTCCCCGACTATCCAGACTGTTACAGTAGGCTGTAACATTTCTTGGAGGAACCTGAGGAAAGCCAAAAGCTGGTGGGAAATAAGTTAGCATATACTTTTGTCAGCGTGCACCGCAGCTGAGGATGCATTTCACTGGTTCGCCATCTCTGGAGTCCACAGCCCTCAGGGATGACCCAAGCAGGTCTGCCTCTTTCATACCCATGTGCAGAGTGACTGGATAATAAACTCCACAGTGCATCAGCTTTTACCTTTCCTCGGTCCTGTTCTGGAGCACAGACTGATCGGAAGTATTCCCCAAACCACCCGAGAGCTCAGCACATCCAGAGTTCATTAAAATTAACAAAATCAAAATTTCCACTGAGTTACTGAATTGTCCCTCCCTGTTATCTTTTAACCAGCCTGCATTGAGCAGATCTCCCTGTACAACTGAGTTGATACATTTATTATTCCATACTACCCAGTAGGATTTCCTCTAAAAATACCAAAGCTTCTTTGGCCAAAAATTCAGTACTGGATGGTTCTCTCCAAAACCAGCACCATTTATTGTGCTAGGACACTATGTCTTCAAAGTGTCTCTATACTGCGTGGTGGGATTAAACAGCAAAGGTTGTAAAGAGCTCTTCTTTTCAAAGTGTTGGGGTGATGCAGGCTCTCATTGCCAACGGGTGTTCTGGTGCATCTTTCGAACTAGCACGTATCCTCAACTTGCAAGATAAGAACAAGAAAATATTGTGATCCACAAGCTTGTTTTACTAAGGGAAATACGATGAGTTATAGTTATCACCACCTGCGAGTGTGAGAGCATGTAGGCTATAAGAGCCTGCAAGACAAAAACCAAAGCCAGAACATGGCAAGATTGCCGAGCTGATATCAGTTAACAGTGGTTTTTAACAAAGAACTGAATTCAACAGTGATTCAGAAAAACAAAGTCTCGATATGACAAGACAAAGAAGCAGCAGAGAGGAGGAAGACAGCAGCTCGGCGATGCTGAGGATCAGCCCGTTGAGAAGAACGGCAGAGACCAGCACTTCCCCACCTGAATGACGACTACGTGGCCAGCAGACCCACTGGGTGGCTGTGCTAGGGAGGGCGGGGAGAGCGGAATAATGCCTCCCAACCTGTGTTGTGGGTGTTAGCAATAACGATAATGACTGTGCACCCATATCCTCGCATGCAGGATACGGCTCGGAAGACTCAGTGCTTGGTAAAAGATGCCTAAGGAGAAGTTAGCCAAAGGCTTGAGGGTTACAGTATGGTGCATTCAGACATGGTCAAGAGGTATGTAGTGGAGAGGTTACTCTGCAGCTAGACCAGTTATAACCAGAGATGAAATGATACTGAATGAGGAAAGAGAGACCAAGACTCCAGGAATGCAGTCAGGTAATGTAATTGCTTGCACAACAGCATAAGGCATGGTCAGGACAACACTGCAGTGTCTGTAACAAACAAAAAACCCCTTAGGCTGAACACCTTTAGGATTGATCCATCCTTATACGTTGTTACAAGCCATTTACTAGGAAACTTTAACACATAAAACTGCTACTCCAAGCTGCCCAGACTACTGCAGCTCAAAGAACAAAGGGCAATAGTGACTCTTAATAGCAAAAACAGAGAAGAGAGGAAAAAAGAATGACAGAAACACTGAAGCTTTCTTTTTCCCCCCTTCTTTAAACAATCCTCTGTAACTGTCTGAAAAAGAGGAGTAAATAGGAGAACATTACATTGTGTAATAGGAATTTGATTTCCAGGTCTGATTGGGGTTTTTTGTTGTTTTGGGGTTGGGTTTTTTGTTGGTTTTGTTGTTGTTGTGTGGGTGGGGTTTTGTTTTGGGGTTTGGGTTTTTTTTAAGCCCTGATTTAATTTGCAAGGTCCTGAATCAGGAAAGAAAAAAACCAAACCGCACATTTTAAAAGATGTACTTGTTAGTTCTTATTTTCCTCTTTCAGCATTTTGCAGCTATCTTTCCTTCAGATGGGTAATGAAACTCTTCTTGCAGCCATTCTACTTCTTTAAAAGTAAAGTTGAAACCAGTGGTATGCAGCAGTGCAAATTAAGCAAAGTGATATAAGCAATGAGATATTACAGGGGGGGTTGTCAAGGTTCAGATTTACTCTATTGGAGATCTCTTCCCTCCCCGTACCATTGACACACATACGCTCCTGTTTGCAAAACCCCTCAGTTTTATATCCCTGTCATTAATCTTCCAAGAGAGCAAAATGCCTGAAAGCTCAAGTATCCAGTAACACCAGCATGTGCAAAAAGGAGTAAGGAAAAGAGAAAAACAATCAGGAAGAAAAAGTTTATGTATTTCCAAGGGCTTCTTATTAAAAACCGCAAGCAGAAGCTGTTTTTTAAAACCATGACAAGTAAGTTGCCAGTACGGCCTAAAATGCACCAAGATCTATGGCCATAGGCCGTGATTTTCTCTTAGGCACAAAACATGCTAAGTAGTTCCTTACTGGCCCTGCATCTGGTCTACGCCAGGAAAATAAGCATTTATTCTTGTAGCAGAATCTGGCTTTTGTGTGCAGAGCGCTGCAATATCCACAGGGCTTCATGGAAAAGTTGGATAAAATCTCAACTTTCCTTGAATACTGGCCAAATGAACAACATTGAATAAAAAAAAATGACCCATGCAGCACATTTGTAATTCAAAAGCTGACCCCTTGCCATCTCTTTCCCCTCAATTTGCTCAGCATCGCTAAATTTTCCAATTTCTGGTGCAGTTTTAACAGTACTGTCATTCAAGTTCTAGAAATAGAAGTAACTGTGTCGAACTGAGGTTTGCAATGCACATTGTCACACTGCCATAGGGGAAATTAATAATTAATACTTGTACTTAGCACTTAAATTTATAGAAGATTAAAAGAATTAAAACATCTAATTTGCAACATGCCTCTATGGAGAGTGTAAGTTCTTACTACCCCCAAAGCAATGAAGTTGAACGATTCTCCCAAAGCAAGAGAAAAGTTTGTGTCAAAGCCGGTACCAGGAATAAGGAGTTCATCACCCCCTTGATGCTATCAAAGATCCCCGCTGTTTTGTACTGGTAACTCTCTCATCTGGACTGCTTATTCTTCCCACTAAAGTCCTCCTTTGAATTTAGAAGAAAAACGTATCCCTATATTTGTAGATGGTAGCTGACCACAGATGCTTCTGACCTCTGTGATGAGTTGCTAACAGGAGCAGAAGCACAAGAGGAAGCACCGGGCAAAGCTTGGGAACCCGTGTAAAGGTTATCCCGCTCTCTGGGCAGACCGCTGCGTGTGTACTTACGGGTAAGCACAGGATCACAGCCAGTGGGTGGCACAGCTCCACGCATCCGCTGGCCATGAAGTCTTGAACAGAGACTGCCACAATCTACAGCCTCCAGTATCAGGTAAAGATTTTAAAGGCAAAGAGCAATTCACATTTCTTCTGATGGTGCGTAATTCTTCTACTCAAGTCTCGTTTGTTCTGGGTTCGAAAAGTAGCTGACAATACAGAAATTATCAGTCTATCTTGTGTGGGCTTCTTACTGCCTATTTACATCTCTCAGTCTTTACTAAGGCTTTGCAGACTTCCCCTTCCCCCACTCGAAAGCTGAAGAAATACAGCACAGAGAGTTGATGTCAGGATCAGATTATGACAGCATGAGTCATTTATTAAGATTCCAGTAATGCTAAGCTCTTTAGCAGGTGCCTTGAGACCGTATTTTTCAGAGTCTAATTTCAGATTCAGACATAAGTACGTTTTATTGGTTTACCATAAACTGCCTGTCCATTGTTGCTTCTCTAAAGCCGCCTTCTCCTTGTCCTGTACTCCACAGCTCCCTTCTCCGAGCTGTGTCCACTTCTGCTCCCTGCTGGCATGCAAATAGCAGCTTAGTTTAATTCCGATTTCTTTAAAGCTACAGATAGATCTTGTTCTCTCATGTAGTATCCTAATCTAACTATTTTTGCCTCTGTACTTTTTACTAATCTCTGTTACTTGCACCACTTCTGCTTATGCCACAGCTACAGGATATTAGCTACTCGCTAGCAAACCCAGCTCCCCTTCCTCTATTTTTAGCCATTTTGTAATTATATGCCCCTACCTCCCCTTCACCTCCTCCTTTTCTTGCAGCCAGCAGCACAGAAGATGGGTACTTCAGAGGCCCAGCCGTGCACCTCCTTCACCCTCCTACCCCAGAAAGGACATAAAAGATCCTAATGCTTAATTAAGGCTTAATCATAAACCTGGTTCTAAACTTCCTAATATACATCCCAATATTTCTGCCACCCAAGTTTGTCCAATTGCACTTGGACCTGGAAGGCGGATGGTAATTCTCAGCAAAGGAACACTCTTCCACCACTGACGTTTCAAAGGAAAGCAGTGAATTCCCCAGCGAGGCACAACATTGCAAACAGACCATTTCTAACAACTGCAGCAGAAATCACAGCTAGAATGTCTCCAGTGGCACCCCTCTACCCTGGGGAAGCCCACAGCTGTCAGCAAAGCAAGGTGTGGAAAAAAAAAAAACCCCAAACCCTAACTATCCTGATTATTACTGCACGAGGCAGGTAGACCAAGCTTTATTTTGGTAAGAATGTGGTAATTCACTACTACTAAATTACCAATAATAGAAATCGATAGAGAGTAAGGGATGTAAGTGGAATCTGAGGCCAGAAGTGCTTCTGAAGGTATCACATCGAGGCCTTTCCCAGTTACCTTTTGTGGAGCAAATGTGACTTTTTATATGATTTTTATAACTCCTTTAAATTCTAAATCCAGTTTTTCTAAGCAGTTCTGGCCCTTTTATTTATTTCAGCAAAGTTTATTTGCTCAAATCTGTGTCAGACTCATCTAAATTTATTTGTGCTTGAGCCTTAAGGGGACTGGGGGTGGAGGAAACAGGCACAGAGAGAAGCTCAGCCTCTCAAAAGGAGCGTGCCTTTTTGAAAAGTCATTTATCATACGAGCTCGTCATTTCTTCCCAGAATCCCATGTTTAACTCCAATAATGAAATCCAAAACCCAACACATTCTCATCCAACCGAACCACCAACTTCCTCTCCCTGAGGAGATTCCAGGCATACTGATTGGGCTCTGTATTTGTATCTTCAGAGGAGTTTCATAAAGAAAAAATGGATGGGTGGAAACACCAAAGAGATTCAGATAATCTTCCATAACACAGAGTGCAGTCAAACCAAAAGTATTTCAAGAAAGACTGAATAACTGGAGCACATGGTCTTGCTAGAAATCAAACAAACAAACAAAAAAAGCTGCTGTAAAACTCAGTTACTCTGTTGGCTTCCATGGTTCTTACACTGATTTACATTTAATATCTAGCTTCAACATGCATCTTCTTGATACTGTAGGGACATAAATCTTCACATTTTCACTGAAGTCAGGAGAGCTATGCAAATTAGCATCAGCTGTTGATATAGCCCAAATAAAACCAGAGCGAAAGAACAAAGAAAAGAATATGCTTCTCAATTGTTGA